AATATTTTTAACTTTTGCCTGGAAATTTAGTGTAAAAGTAATATTTCAGTCTTGCATTTTAAACCTAAATTTGCCAAATATGTCGGTGAAAAGAATATTGTTTGGGAGGGGGGGGGGTTGGAGGGCGGTGGGTATCTCTTGCATGTTTAGAGAACAACACCAACTATTATCATTATGGCTCACACGTTCTTTGCAAAATCCCTTGCACTTACAAAATGGGCCTATTCTTTCTGTAAGATAGATAAGATATTCATACAGTCCGTACTGTTCTGTTATTCATCATCACAGAGTACTTGATCTCCGACAGACATCGGCGATCGCGGCTCTTCGTTCGTCCCTTTGCTCGGGACCTTCGAATTTAAAGTCAATCATCGATAGAACTGTGCCTAGTGGGTGGATAGTCTTTAAAAAAACAACCCAAAACCAGAAAAACACTCTTTAAATCAACCCAGTATCAGAAGGCCCTAATCAGGGGATCGAACCAGGGCCGTTGGCTCAAGTCTAGTAGGATGATACTAGCTGAGCAAACTGTTACTGTACAACTCAATAATCTGAAATTGGAAAGAAATAGAGGCATAGAAAACCAGGAAAAAAAGCCTGGGATGCTCCACCCAAAAAGACCCCCATTTGGGGATTTAACGCAGGAGTCCTTAACTTAAACCCCAAAGATGAGCGAGATATGAAATGAGTGCTGACGTGCAAAAAGGTTTTTAAAAAAATAATTAAGTATGGGTACTGATCGAGTTAATGGAGCTCTTTAAAAAATTAGTGTGCTTTACGCCAATATCAAAACCATTTTAATGAATTATATCTCTCTGTCGCCTGTGATGTTGTATTCTCCTAACTCCGAGCTGACATGGAGAGGTAAGTTTGAAGAACCCTTCCTCCAAGGACTTTTAAAATTGTGTCGAATGAGGAAGCAACCATCCCCTCCCCCTCCCACTATCTATCCCCCCCATCTCTTTCTTTCTCTCTCTCTCTCTCTCTCTCTCTCTCTCTCTCTCTCTCTCTCTCTCTCTATCTCTCTCTCTCTCTCCGTTTGTCGCTTTGTCTCTGTCTCAGTCTGTCTCTGTCTGTCTGTTTGTCTGTCTGCCTGCCTGCCTGCCTGCCTGTCTGTCTGTCTGTCTGTCTGTTTTTGTTTGTTTGTCTGTCTGTCTGTCTCTCGCTGTCTCTCTCTGTGTCTCTTTGTGTCTCTCTCCCTGTCTCTCTCTGTCTCCCTCTCAATATTGTGGCTCGCTCTCTGTCTCTCTCTCTCTCTCTGTCTTTGTCCTCTGTCTCTGCCTGTATCTCTCTCTTTCTCTCAGTCTCACTATTCCACTTCTTCTTCTTCTTCTTCTTCTTCTTCTTCTTCTTCTTCTTCTTCTTCTTCT